AAAAACGGATTGGAGAGAAAGATAGTAAAGAAGTTCTTATAAATAACCTAGGTGAGACAAGTGGCCTCAAGTAAGACTACAGTGGTAGTGGGGGTGGGTGGAAGTAAGATTTGAGGGGTGTAGAATTAACGGGAATTGACAGGACTACATTCATGTGGGAGGGGTAAGAAACAGGTGATAAGGATGACATTCAGATTTCTAGCTTGAGCAACTGGTCAAAAAACAGGAGGAAGGGCAGCTGGGAATTTGAGGTAATTTTGGAACTTCCAGGTGGAGATTTCCATTATAAGTTTGATATATGACCTTGAAGCACAGGAGGAAAATCCATATTAAAAAAAACAGATGGGTAAGTGAAGTGACGGGAATGAAAGAGATCATCTAGAGAGACTTTGGAGAATGAGAAGAGGAGATAGACAAGCACAGAACCCTGGAAACATAAACGTCTAAAAGACAGCTAGAGAAAGAATGGCGCATAGGAAGAGTTGAGAAATAGCAGGCGGGGAGGGAAGAGAAAACCAGGGAATCCAGTACCACGCATGTGGTAGGTAAGTAGGTAGGGCATTTGAAAGAGGAGGAAACAGTCAGTGGCATCAACTGTTATCAACACCACCTAGGAAAGTGACTGCGAAGTGTTCACTCCAGTTAACAAGCAAGAACTCATTGGTTAAACAGAATGAAGTCATTGGCAACCTTTATGAGACAAGTTTCATAAACAACCCACGCAGTGGGTTGAAAAATGAGTAGAAAGTGAAGAAATTGGGTCATTAAACGTTGACAGCTCTCAAGAAACATGGCTGTGAAGAGGAAGACAGAAATATATGAATAGCTGAGTGGGAATGTGTATGGATGAAGGCGGGTTTTATTTTCTCTGTTTTATGAAAAAGACTTGAAAATACCAACAAAAGAGAGCCAACAGGGAGAAGTAGATGATACAGTAGAGAAAGTACCTGGGAAGGCTATAGAGACATCCACCAGATTGAACTTTCATTCTCTCCTCCCAAATCTTGAATAAAGAAGATTTGGAAGGAGAGAAACAAATTCAGGACCTTTCCCTTGGAGACAGGAACCACATTACAGACAACAGTCTAGAAGTACCCTGCCCTTAGATCTAGTATCTGCTAACAGCATTGTGTGTTAACCTTTGCTTTCTCTTTCAGAAAGGGGAAGGAATTGATACATCTCACTAAAGTTTACCTGATGTCAGATTCTATGAGATCTTCCAGTCTTGTGTAAATATCCATAGATGTGGTTTCCCTGACACCGTATACAGTAATTTAAATAGATACAGTCCTTGCCCTCCAGAAACTCACAATAAAAAACAGATGACATGGACACACACGTCCACCACCACCCCTACCACACCAGGACACATATTACAGTAAGAGAACGTGATGGTTCTTAAATAAGAATTTATATTAGATACAAGTTCGGTATTTGTTATTTCTAGCTATGGGATACATGAAAAGTTTTGCTGGGAAATTGGGGGTGGTTAGGAAAAGTATTACTTGACTTTCGCACAAACAGGGGAGGCCTGGGAGGGAAGAAAGAAGGGAGAGCTTGACTGGATTATACTCGGAGGGAAAAAACCTGTCTCTTGTATTCCTCACCACCCAGGCTTATAAGAGCTTAAAAGATGATAGCAATTGACTGATTATATAAAGTCCTAGATCCAGAGACTTATTGATGCAAAAACTAGGCAAAGGCTGAACAGGTAAGCCTGGAGGGAAGGCAGAATGCATGCTGGAACTCAGAGGGTTAAAGGGTATAAAGCCTTAGTCTGGCTAGAAAGGTTTCCAGTGATGGAGTACCAAAGAGCCACCAGGCTACTGGTGAGACAGCTCAGGAGAAGGAGAAGACTGTGGAGATGAGGGTTAGTGCCCAAATTAGATACTACCTTTTGGTTTCAGAGAGAAAAAGTAGATGTGGAAGATATGGAAGAAATAGTAGAAGAGTTTAGTAATATACATTGGCATAACCAAGATTTTAGCATTTTTCTGATGAAGGGAGGAAATTTTGTCATTTATTCCAGAAAATTCTAGGTTATTAAGCTTTCAATTAAAAGCTGCAAAGAGACTTCACATGAAAATGTTTTAAAAGTATTTATGTACTTTTTAGACTTCGCTATTCATCAGTCTTATATAGAGCATCTTGAAATGTATTCTAGCAGGCAAGAAGTAAAAAATGATATTGGAAAGGAAAGTTGGGGTCAGATTTTTTAGGTTGAGAGAGTTTTACCCAAGGTCAAAAGCTAGCAAGAGACCACACCAGAACTTCAACTCAATCTTCGATTCTAAATCCTGTGGCCACAGAATTATTTGGAAAGGGAAATAGGCAACACACCCACTATTAGAATATTACTACCATAACCTGGCAAGAAGTAATGAGGACGTGAACAAAGGCAGAGGCAACAAGAAAGGAGGGAGAAGGTTGGATCCCAAAGAAACTGTGGAGGTAGTGTTAATAGGATTTGACAACTGAGTATGTGGGGCAGGTAAGAAAGAGGGATACATCACAATGAGTGTGAGTTTCTCTCAAAAATGACTCATTACACAGTGCAATTTGGTTGTGGTATGCCAATGAGAAGAAAGTGTGGTCATATGTCATCTAAGAGAATCGATTTATAACAAATATTTAAATAAAGACTATTATGATAATGCGATTGCAATAAAAAAATGTTGAAATAGCCCTGATTATAGAAAAAGCAGCATTAGTAAGGATCCCTTATTTTTTTTTCTCTAGCATTACTCCTTAGAAAGAATGTTCCAATGAGCGTGCGTGAACCCATCTAGTCAGTTTATAGGTAGACCTTGACTGGATTAGCTAGAGATCTCATGAGATATGGTCCCACCACTCACAAAATTACCCAAGCCATAAATCCGGAAGTCATCCTAGGCTTCTCCACTTCTCTTGCTTCTATTAAGTCCTATTCTTTTTATCTATTTATCATCTCTCTCATTTCTTCCATCTTTCCCATCGCCACTGCTACTGCTTTAGTTCAGACCTTTATCATTGCTTTCCTGGACCACTAAAATAGCTTTTGAAGCTCTCCTTCTCCATTACAATCTTGCCTTCTTCATCCCAGCTGTGCCTTGTCAATAAAAGATTTTTCCAAACTGCAAATATAAATATCTTATTTTTCTGCTTTAACCCTTGAGTGTTCTCTCATTTCCATGATGGAGTCCATACTCCTTAGTGCAACCTACAGCCCCCTCCATCTCCTGGTCTTTGCCTATCTGACCACTCTCATCTGTCACTAATTCTACTCACTATATTCCAATCTACTCACTCACTGAAGTCTTCCGAATGTGCCAGCAAGGATATATAGCGATTAAAAGCAGACTGTAGAATTAGACTTCACTTTGATCCCTAGATTCCCCCATTTACTAGCCATGTAGCTCAGGGCATACTTGCCATCACTGTGCTTCTCTCACCTCACCTGTAGAATGGGAATAATCTCATAGAATTGTTTTCTGTGTGTATGAAGGATGAATGAAATAGCTCAAGTGAAGAACTAGCATGAGAACGCTCAGCAAATACTAGATGGTGTTGTTGTGTTATTCATACTTTTCTGTATCCTTTAAACCCATTCCCGAGAATGCTTTCCTCTTCCTTCTTGATCAACCGTTCCTTATTGATAACGTAGCAGATTCCTATTCTGACGTAAGGGTCCAGCTCCACTGCTCTCTTGTCATTTAGAATTAAACCTCCCTACTTCCACAGCATCTCTAAACCTTGTAGATATTTTGATTTCTGTGCCTAGGGATATATGTCTGTTTCTCTACACAACTGTGAAATTATTAAAGACAGACACCAGATCTTCCTTATATTTGGCTCTCTGTGCCTTGGAACATTGGCTCTCCATTGTCCTGGTTCAGTGGAAAACTCAATGATTTAAGGTTTGGTAAATTGAACTAAATCGATGCAGTTGAATTGAATTCAAGTAGGCTATCCAATTTCTCTTTTTATGAGTCTATATTTTCTAAGCAACTTTTCTGAAATAAAAGCTGATTTATCCAAAACATCTAACAGGATGACTGGCACACACACTTAAAAATGATATTTATTAATGTTTGGTTTCTCAGGTAGACTTCACACTAGACAAGGAGAATATGCTGGCTATTAAGCTAATTCTCCCTTGCAAATTAAAAACTTAGTACTTTAGTTTGTCAATCAGTTCCTTGAGGGTTTGGTTTTCATGAATCATTTCAATAACAACAGGTCATCCTTGCCAGCTCTAATCATTTTTTTCCTATACCATATAGAAAAAATTAAATATGAAAATGAACAGAAAAGAGGTATACAGAAGCCCAAGAAAATAAAATGAGGTGACATCACTTGCACAACAGAAAGGGAACATTTAATAGATAATCTAAAAAGGTTTATTTTACAAATCAAAAAATGAAACCTGCCTTTCAGCAGCATGATCCTCAAAAGTTCTAACTTTTATACTCAGCAATATATTTTAGCAGATGTGTCTTATAAACCCTGACATTTAATTATATCAATTTTAATTTATGAGTCATTGAAGCATATTTCAGGAAAAAATACAAAATAATTCATATCAAAATATTAATTGTTCATCAGCTTCCTTCATTATTTAATTTATTTTTTTTTACTAAACTAATAATGTAGGTTTGTTTCTGATGACAGTAAATTTTCCTTTCTTTCAACATAGTGAAAGCTTGGATAATTATGAAATTTTTAAATGGTTAAATCTTTTGCTGTTTATTTTAATTCAAATTCAGTATATTATTATATATATCCAGAACTCAAGCTATTCATCTTCATCTAAACCTTCAATTAAATTCCACAATGCAAACCTCTTGGCACTAGAACCACATTTCATGTTTATTCAACTGAGCCTGTGTCTTGAAAAAGTGTTGAAGTTTGGGGTTTTTCTGGTGAGAATCCACGTTCTGACATCACCTTGGCCATGACAGTGATTGGCTGTTGGAAGGCAAAGAAGAGTTTATAGCCAGCAAGAGCAAGTGAATGAGTGAGTGAGAGAGCAGAGGAAATATTCAATCTGTGTCACTCACTCCTGTGAGCCTGCCTCCTCACTCCAGGACTGCGAACGGGTAAGATTTAATACACCAGCTTCACTATCTTAAAATCAAACACTCCATGTTTTATATCTCTGAATATGGCTTTGAATTTTTTATTTAAATATTGCTAATATTGCCCTGTATAGAATGGCTATGTAATTTAACACTTGTTTACCATTAAACTAGTACCTCAGATTTTAGATTCTTTCACAGATAACTATTTGTTTCCTCATTCTGGTGCATTCAAGATAACCTGACTGAAATACTATTTTGCATTTGCAAATCTGCCTTGATTTCTGCAGATTTCTCCGTAAGTTATGCCTAATCTGTATTTCAATCAGATACAATATCTTTTTAATATGTTATACATTCAATTTCAAAGTGTTAATATCCTATAGCTCTAAAATCAGTTTGGAAAAATACACAGTACTAGAGAAATAAATAACGTTGACAGTTTATCATACTCTTCCTTAAAAAAAACTTGTAATTAGATTCTCAAAACTATCCTTTAAGAATGTTTGAATTGTTGTCTGGGTTAGTTGGGGCCACTATAGAGGTCTTTGCTTTTGATGAGTCACAAAGTAAATAAAATGAGATTTATGTAGGCAGCCAATTGCTGCCTACCTGAATCACTTGGTTCTTTTTATATTATTCCTGCTATGTTTTCATCTAGTTGTTTTTATGGTTTGTTATGAGAAATTTATGTAATCAAAACTCTTTCTACAGTTCTCTGTATTTAAGTTTTTAGCTCTTTTAGATATTATAAATATTTTAAATACGCCAACTCTTTTCATAAGGCTGCAAAGCAATAATTTTCCAGGCTGGTGAGCTCAACCATGGGCAGCAAAGTTCAAAGTATTATTCCAAGTACCCTGATAGCAATGAAACTTCTTAAACAGATGAGCCCCCTTCAGGGGCAAAGCCGTTTTGTCCCCATGTGGCCATCACACAAACACTGTGTGATTTCGCTCATATGTGGAAGATAAACACATGGATAAAGAGAACAGATTGGTAGTTACCAAAGGGGAAGAAAGGGGTGGGTGAAAGGGGTCAAGGGGCACATATGTATGGTGACAGATAAAAATTAGACTATTGGTGGTGAATACAATACAGTCTGTACAAAAACTGATATATAATGATGTACACCTGAAATTACACAATGTTATAAACCAATACAACCTCAAGAAAAGAAAAGAAAAGAACTTTTACTAAAATAGAGAGACTTTGAGGAAGTGTGTAGGCATCAAAATCAAAAGACCCACTCTGCCACAGATAGTGTGACTTAGGACCCAAATACCTTCTCCAGGCCTCAAGACTTACTCAATGTAATATTTATTTTAGTGTCAGATACTCAATCAGAATGCAATAAATCTTGGCTAATGGTGACAAAATGCAAAATCAACCTTCAAGGTACAGTATATGACATGGGTTTTATACATTTTATACATTACTTTTCCATCTGTGTATGGGAAAATTACCATCACTGTTACTTATTGCTTCTAAAATGTTGCCAGTGCTGTCACTCTGCTTGAGAAAGCACTCAGTTAAATGTGTATGTCAGTGCAAGTGGGGGGTTGTTAAGTGTTCAGCTAAGTTTGTTTAACCTCCATTAATATGGAATTTTATCAAATAGAATAAAATTTAAATAGGATAGGATGTCAATCTCTCTCCTTTTACTTATGAGGAACGTAAGTGGAACTGAGATCTTCACATGGCTGCAATCCCCAGGACTGTCCGGGAACTATTTCCACTCTGAGAGTTGCATCTTCAATTCTTCCACAGAATTGGCGTCTTCATCATGCCCATTGCCCTGACCCTGGGATCCCCTGATCCATCCCATGATAGTCTCCCACACTAGTGAGGGAAAGCTTAAGTGGAGCTGGAGAACAACCTAATTTGAGGAAATTTGCTCCTGATGTCCCAAGGTGAAACTCTGATGAACTCTTCTCATAGAATCATCCTTAGACATGGCTGTTCAGTGCTACATGCTAAGAAAATAGTATTTCACATAATATGGATCATTTCACATGCATAACAAAAATACCAAGTGTTCTAAGATATGCATAGGAAAATGGCTCCTAGTCTCATTTTGCAAATGAACTTTTAGTTCAAAATCTATATAGAAGCTGGAAACTGCCTGTAGGATCATTGATGTAAAAGCAATCATTTAAATGTATTCAATTTTTGCTTAGTTTTTAATTATAAACAAAGAAAATAGGTCACATAACTATGGTAACAATTCAGCTCACTTAGCTGATATTCCTGTCAATAATATTAGGAGGCCTCCTTGCCCCAGTATGAAGTAGGCTAAGCATGCAAGCCCCTTGCAGTGATGAAATGGCCTTCCAATGACAGATCATAGCAAATAGGTTAAAACCAAATATGGAACTCAAGATTATTCAAATAGGTAAAATCAGTCTTCTAGCATTTAAATAGAAGGAAGAAATTTAAAACAAAAGTAGAAATTTGGTCTTAATTAGTCGAAACTATAACTGGACATAGATAAAAGCAAATCAAATACTTAATCTTCTAGTATGAGGAAAAAAATTACACTCAGTTTTAATATTTATTAACTTTACCACTTCATTAATTCCAGAAGCAATCACCAAAATGAAGACTGCTTTCATTTTGCTCAGCATTTTGGGAATGGCCTGTGCTCTCTCAGTAAGTTCTTTATTAAAAAGCTGTAGTTATTTCCATTTCTGTCTTTTTATGTAAAAGAAAGAATATACAATAACTAAATGTTCTTTTAAACAGATGAAAAATTTGCATCGAAGAACCAAATTAGAGGATTCTGAACAAAATGGGGTAATTAATTTTAGCATACTTCCTTGGCCTGACTATACTTACTCTAGATTTACTGCACATTAAACGTGAATATATCATTTATTTTCTTTATGCAGGTCTTTAAGTATAGACCACGATATTCTCTTTACAAGCATGCCTACTTTTATCCTCCTCTAAAACGATTTCCAGTTCAGGTAAGTATAAAAGTTAATTTTCCTTCTCACGCACTACAATTTAAAGGGAATCAAATTTAACTACAAAATACCTCAATTCAGCTGTCACTGAAATTCAGCCAGAAAGACTACTTACTACAAAAAGTTTGTTTTTACTATAATAAAATAAAATTTATTCCTAAGTTACCTTTTAAAGCAGAGATACACACACACGCAGTAAATTCATTTGGGCCCAGTCTAGAATGATACAAGAAAAGCAAAAACGTTGGCACATTGATTTCAGGTATTTTGACTAATTCACTGACAAAAGTGGACAATTTTATCAATTGTTGACAATTAAGTCAGTGATAAGGCCACTAATAGTCATGTTATTGTTGATTCAATACTGTCATACAGTTGCTTTACATCCAATAATTTAGAGTCCTTTAATTGGTAGGGGAAAAAATTGACTTCATAAACAGTAAAGATCATTAAGAAAATTCTGGATAATCAATGGTAGTTGCTGAACATCTTCTGAACCTTTGACCTGTGTGGGTCGCTAGAGCAGTGTGTCATACGTTGGAGCACAATTGTAATGGAAGTGTGGCTCAAGACCTGCAGAGGAAAGAGAGAATTTCATGAAATGAACTAAAAAGCTTGTGGGAAAAACAAAACATCCTTAAAATTTGTAAACAAAAAGGAAAATAACTAAACACTAAAAATAAGTTTCTGTTTTTACTGGGTTACCTGTGAAGAGGGCCTTTGAAAACTGGAGGGTGTGGTGTTGATTTTAAATATACAACAAACCAGAATTGTGCTATTTTTATTACCATACAGTTTGGGTTCAGGGCACCAATTATGCACCATTTGGCCCAGGACTCCTGAGACACTAAAAACAGTCAAGATGCTGAAAACGATGCCTCAGCACAGTGGCTTGGCATAGCATCCTACCATATGTTGGGCTAACCCATCTCTAACTCATACAATGATTGGAAACGATCATCTTAAAGTATTTCTAGCACCATAATAATTATGGGGAATGTGTGCAGCCACAGAAATATGAGCACAAGTGATACAAGAGTTGTGGCTTTTCAGAATTATCTTCCATTCTTTGGTTCACCTCAGGCCCATAAATAAACAGTGCTCATTTGAAACTTCACTTTGTTTTCTTTCTTAAACTAAACAGAAATGATAATAAATTTAAGTTTCTCAATAGCTCCTCCTCAACTTTTCTAAAATATAAAGTACATAAAGATTTTCCCACCTAGAAATTTTTATAGATATATATGTGTGGTCCAATTAAAAATGTCCATAGTGAAAAGATGAAGAGGAGTTATATTTTTCATTATCGATAGACTCAAAGTTCACAGATCTTTAATACATAAAATTTCCACAAATTATATGCAGGTAAGTCCATCTCAACCAATGTAGAATTTGTAAGTAAGAGAGTTGTTTTAAAATAGAATCCAACAAAATATATCTCCCCATCCAACAGTCTGACCTAGTATTTATGATCCATCCTCCTACTTGACAAAGTTTGATTTCCAAGATTTTTCCTCTTACATGTCTATTTTTATATTTTCCATAGTTCTTTATTTATTCTCTTAAGTCTATTAAGCATCTAGTGCCCAAATTGTCACCCAAAAATGCATTAAACTGTATTAGCTTTGAAATTTATATTTTATTCAAGCACATCTGTGTTTATATATAATCATTTCTAAAATACCAACTTGCATGAAACATGTTATATTGATTGCAAAGCTATTAACAGTTTCCTATAGCTTATCTATCTGCTTGGCTGTAGAAATGGAAGAATAAATAAGCTTATACCTTAAGCATTTTTAATTGAGGAAATTGTTTTTTATGATTCAAATGATATTTGATTAGTGTGTAAACTCTTAGAGGGCAAAAACTTTCTCTCATATTTCTTTTATTGGATTCATCTCAGCTATCACAATGCTTGACACAGGAAAGCTGCCCACATTTCCAACTTCATCTTTTGCTATGACCCTCATTCTCAGTACAGTGCCTGGAATATATGATTTAGGATTGAATAAAGGGAGTGATGGGAGAGGAAGGTAAAAATAAAATTATGTATTTGAAAGACTTCCATAAGAATCAATAGGACTTAGTGACAAATTGGTAATAAGGCATAAATGAAAGAAAGGAAAATAAGAAAATGCCAAGTCTTCAAGGCATTTCATGCAGTTTTAAAATTGTTCTCACTGCAGATACTAATTGAAGAGTAATGTGGTTGGGGTAGGAAGAAGGCTAGAGGTGAGGAAGCTTGTAAAATGACTAAAACACTCCCACTGAGACAAAATGTGCTGCATAAATATGCTGTCCTCTATATATAATTTAACTAACAAATAGAAATGGTTCAAATACAATATTATGTGTTATTCACTCTCTGGGCTGAATAGGGAAGGCTCAACCATGAAGGTCATGGCAGTGGAAGAACAGGTCTAACTATTCTCTTTTCCACCCAAGGTTATTCTTGGCTCAAGGGGACAAGCATTCCCTTTTCTTGGGTGGATAGTGTGGCCACCTGAAGAATGAGCCCAACAGGGACAGCTCTGAGCAGGACCAGGGCATGAGGGTTTCCTCGTATCTGATCTCTAACCCTGAGGTCTTCTGCAGCTGTATTGTCTAAGACCCAGGATACTTAACTGGGTCATCAGAATCAAAGCTAAAATTTGCAGGGCAGAAAATGACAGAATCTTAAGTTGGGTATCCATTTATATACCTAGTGCCATTGGGGTGGTTCCAAAAAAAGAAGGAGAATTTAATTTGGGTTATCATTGGGAGAAAGATGAAGATCTCTTCTACTGTCTTAAAGGCTCTGATAACAGATGTTCAGATTTACATCTCCTTTTAAAAAGTAACAAAGCTTATTAACTTATATTTTTATATACAGACCCCTTAGTTTAATTTATTCTCATTTAAAATGGAGCTCTTTAGAGGAATGGTACTCTATAAATCTCCTAAATGAGTAAATGAAATTATTTTTCCCTTATATAACTTTTACCTCATATATATAACCTCACATATATATATATAACCTTATTTTAGCCATTAGCTTTAATTAGATTGAAAGATACTAAAAATTATACGCAAATTTAATTTCAAGTCAAATTCTAGTTTAAATTCACCAGGAGAGCTCATTATTTAAGAGAATCATCCAGTAACAACTTATATTTTATAGTAAGCCTAATCATCATTACACTTATATTTTATAATGAAAATAAAACAATGTGATCTAAGTCTTAGCCCCAGATTTGCCTTGAACGGGTTGGAGAAGTCACAACTGTTCTGGGCTTCAGATTCTTTCTCTGTAAAATAAATTGGACCAGATAATCTTCTTGTTGTCTCAGAGTTAAGCAATTCTGTAATTCATTGCTCTAGTTTTTACATACAAAATGTTTCAACATATCGCCTATGATTTTGTGGTTGAAAATGGAATATCTCAATTCATATCTAAATCATTGTAAAATACCTCCTTCTCTCTAACCTCATTTTATATACGCCCAATCTCCACACCTCTCTCACATTTGCATGGGAACTGTTCTAGGTAAATAAATCAATCAAGACAGTAACTAATTAGTTTGAGTAAATATTTGTGTGTATTTTAATCTTATTTTAGTCAGCAGGAAATTTTCTTTGATGTTGAATATATGTGTATATATATGTGTGTATATATGCACGTGCATATACACACATACATGTCTATGAACATACACGTGTACACATACATGTGTGTATACACATATACATGTGTATGTGTTAATGTGTGTACATGTATGTATATGTTTATATATTCATATGTATATAAATTCATATACATATATTTTTAGAGCAGTAGTGACTCATCTGAAGAAAATGGAGATGGTGATAGCTCAGAAGAGGAGGAGGAAGAAGAGGTAAGAAATTTCTGAAGTTTCTTCATAACAAACCAGGCAGCACAAAAAACAAATAGGAAACTAGTCTACTGTAGTCTGGACTCAGCAAATAGCCATTGCCAGCTTACCAACTGCCCACAGTCTTCTATTTTGGAAAGTAAAATGTTATTTAAACTAGAATCAACTAAAATGACCTGTTTAAAACACTATTACAGTTTGGGGATAGAGTTACCTATAAGTGGTACACAAAAACAGAATTGTCTCCATTTTAAGTGAAAGAAGTGTAAATTCTGATAAAAACGAAAGTATTGTTTATATTTAGGTGGATAGAACGTGACGGTAAAAGAGCAGTACATAATAATCCTAAATTCAGTGTAATACTTGTTTTAAGGACTGAAGTTAAAAAACTCAATTTACTAAGTGGGTAGTATACGAAAGTTAATCTTCTATCCTGTACGGTGTTATTGTGATTCATTTGCTCTTCTTGACCCACAAAGGAGGGTTTTGTTTTGTTTTGTTTTGTTTTTTGGTGAGGAAGATTACCCCTGAGCTAACGTCTGTTGCCAATCCTCCTCTTTTTGCTGAGGAAGATTGTCCCTGAGCTAACATCTATGCCCACCTTCCTCTACTTTATATGTGGGACTCCTGCTACAGCGTGGCTTGATAAGCAGTGCGTAGGTTGGCACCCGGGATCTGAACCTGAGAACCCCGGGCCTCTGAAGTGGACTGCATGAACTTAACCACTACGCCACCGGCCCAGCCCCAGGGTTGTTCTTTTTAATAGGAATTTCATATGACTTTTTGTCTAACAATAAAATTTATGTTCTTACAGAAATGCAAATACTCAAGATGTATAAATATCTTCCCTTATAGTACTGCAAATTAGTGTAGTTCATGGCTAAAATCCATCTCTATATCTTTGAAATTGTGCTAACTTGTTTATAACTGAAACCCTTGCCCAAGGAAACATACTAATTAGGTATATTTTCCTGGATAGTCAATTATAGCTATCCACTGGTTTGGGAACATTCTAAATTCAGGTATTCTTAGGTGCTATTTATGAATGGACAATGACAGTCAAAAATGGATCATGGATAAATGTCTGCTATCTTGAAAACAAAATGGAGTGGGAACTTAAAAGTGACAAATCATTAGTTTGATTTTTTTTAACCATAAAAGTACCATTTCCAGTACCATAATTTACCCTGATAGTTTAAAGGAAGGCCTTACAGGAATGTCAATCCAGTACCAGAAAAAATGCCACCTACCAAATCCCACAAAATTTTGCCAGAAGCTCCACACAGAAGTTTTACATAAGAACTAAGCTAGGGGGCCGGCCTCATGGCTTAGCGGTTAAGTGCGTGCGCTCCACTACTGGCGGCCCGGGTTTGGATCCCAGGCGCGCACCGATGCACCGCTTCTCCAGCCATGCTGAGGCGGCGTCCCGCATACAGCAACTAGAAGGATGTGCAGCTATGACATATAACTATCTACTGGGGCTTTGGGGAAAAAAAGGAGGAGGATTGGCAATAGATGTTAGCTCAGAGCCGGTCTTCCTCAGCAAAAAGAGGAGGATTAGCATGGATGTTAGCTCAGGGCTGATCTTCCACACACACACACAAAAAAAGAACTAAGCTAGGGTAATCCATTTCACTACAGCTGTTTGCTGTACAGTGGTTGTAAATTGCCTTGCCAGCTAGATTTCCCAATTAGACTGTGTACCTTTCAGCAATGGGTCTTCATTTGTCGTGATGATGGTTGGGGATGGAGAAAAATTAGGACTCTTTTAGGACTCTGATGAAATAATACATGCCCAAAATTTTGTCAACAATCTCTGAACATTTATGGTCCTCCCAAAACTTATCTTCCAACTGCACACAACCTAGGGGAGTAGGGCCCACAGGCTGCAATCCTGGCTTTGGGAAAGACCTGTGCTATACCCTCTTTTGTATGTCCTCACACTGCCTAGCACAGAGTCTTACACATATATGGTGCCTAGAAAATATTTAGTGGTTTCATTTTGAAACTTCAGAGGAATAAATGCTCCAAAGATTATTCATTAAAAGTGATATTGGAGGACCAGCCCCAGTGGCCTAGTGGTGATGTTCAGCACGCTCTGCTTTGGTGGCCCGGGTTCAGTTCCCAGGCCCAGACCTACACCACTTTTCTGTCAGTGGCCATGCTGTGGCAGTGGCTCACACAAAAAGAGGAAGGTTGGTAGCAAATGTTAGCTCAGGGCAAATCTTCCTCAGCAAAAAAAAAAAAAAAAATGCTATTGGAAAAGTAGATAAATAAAACTGGGAGCCTTCCATCCTGAAGAAAATTTAGAATCTCTTTTTTTCCCCAGTTCTTCCCTAAAATTTCATTGGCAATTCAGGTTAAATACAGAGTGCCCAGGAATTGTGTTCACATGAGAAGGTACTTAGGCTTATTCTATTTGATGATCAGATATTTTTTTTCCACTCCTAAACTGTTTGCCTTCACTTTGAAAAAAATTTTATTGAAATATAACATACATGTATAACACATTTATCATAAATATATAGATCATTGAAATGTCAGTAATTGAACACGCAAGTGTAATCAGCAGCCACATGAAAAAGCAGCACACGCTTTGTGCTCCATTCCATTGATTAACCAAGCCCCACCAAGGGCAACCACTATTTTGTCTCCTAACAGATAGATCACTTTTGCCTCTTTTCGTGTATTATATATATGGAATCATACAGCATATACACTTCCGCATGTGGTCTCTTCCACTCTCAACTTCAGAGATTGATCCATATTGTTCTCTAGTTGTAGATTGTTCATTCTCATTCACATAGTTTCCGAGTTTGGGCTATTACAAAATGTGCTGCTATAAACATTCTAGTACACCTTCTGGTGAATATATGCATTCTTCTCTGGAGGCCATCTTATCTAGAAGGGAAATTTCTTTTTTTTTTTTTAATTTTTTGTTTATTGCAGTAACATTGGTTTATAACATTGTATAAATTTCAGGTGTACATCGTTATACTTCTATTTCTGCATGGATTACATCATGTTCTCATGTTCACCACCCAAATACTAATTACAATCCATCACCACACACATGTGCCTAATTATCCTTTTCGCCCTCCTCCCTCCCCACTTCCCCTCTGGTAACCACCAATCCAATCTCTGTCTCTATGTGTTTGTTTGTTGTTGTTATCATCTGCTACTTGATTAGTGAGATCATACAATATTTGACCTTCTCTCTCTGACTTATTTCTCTTTGCATAATACCCTCAATGTCCATCCATATTGTCACAAATAACTGGATTTCATTGTTTCTTATAGCTGAGTAGTATTCCATTGTGTATATATACCACATCTTCTTTATCCATTTGTCCCTTGATGGGCACTTAGGTTGCTTCCAAGTCTTGGCTATTGTGAATAACGCTGCAATGAACACAGAGGTGCGTGTTTCTTTACGCATTGGTGTTTTCACCTTCTTTGGATAAATACCCAGTAGTGGAATAGTTGGATTGTATGGTAGTTCTATCCTTAATTTTTTGAGGAATCTCCATACTGTTTTCCATAGTGACTGCACCAGTTCGCACTCCCACTAGCAGTGTATGCGAGTTTCCTTCTCTCCACATCCTCTCCAACACTTGTTGTTTTCTGTCTTCTTAATTATAGCCATTCTGACGGGCATGAGGTGATATCTCATGGTAGTTTTGATTTGCATTTCCCGGATAGTTAATGATGTTGAACATCTTTTCATGTGCCTGTTGGCCATCTGTATATCTTCTTTGGAGAAATATCTGTTCACATCTTTTGCCATTTTTTTAATTGGGTTGTTAGTTTTTTTGTTGTTGAGATGCATGAGTTCTTTATATATTTTGGAGATTAACCCCTTATCAAATGTATGCTTTGAAAATATCTTCTCCCAATTGTTAGGTTGTCTTTTCATTTTGTTCCTGGTTTCCTTTGCCTTACAGAAGCTTTTTAGTTTGATGTAGTCCCATTTGTTTAGTTTTTCTATTGTTTCTCTTGCCCGGTCAGATATGGTGCTTGAAAATATATTGCTAAGACTGATGTCGAAGAGCATACTGCCTATATTTTCTTCTAGAAGTTTCATGGTTTCAGGTCTTACATTCAAGTCTTTAATCCATTTTGAGTTAATTTTTGTGTATGGTGTAAGGTAATGGTCTACTTTCATTTTTCTGCATGTGGCTGTCCAGTTTTCCCAAAACCATTTGTTGAAGAGACTTTCCTTTCTCCATTGTATGTTCTTGGCTAGAAGTGAAATTTCTAAGTCAAAAGGTATGCATATGTTCAACTTGAGTAGATGCAACCAAATGACTTTCCAAAGCAGATGTACTGATGTAAACTTCCACTACCAGGATATGAGAGTTCCACTGCTCCACATTCTCACCAATACTCGTTTCTTTCAGTCATTTTACCCTAGATTCTAGGAGGTTAATAATACATTTTTAAGCACAAATTATTGCTAATTTTTCTATTCAATAAGATATTTGAGGCCTAATACCCATCAACAGACTGACCTATTTTCATTTTTAACTTATTGCAGCAGGACATCCTTAAATAAAGTATCTAGGAAAAGAAAGAGTGTTTTAGGAGAAAATGTAGAAGTCTATGAGTTGAGAGTCTGGGCCTTTAGTCATGACCCTGCCACTAATGAACTGCTATCTCTTTGACCTCATACAAGTCATTTATCCCATTGGACCTCAGACTTTTCATCTGTGAAATGAGGGAACAGGACCCACCTTGCATATTCTTCTACTCCAAGGATATTTCCTCCTTCTACCTTTGAAAGGTTTAGTCTGTTGGACTAAAGCATAAACATGAAAAAAATAAACAGTATGGTAATTGTGGGATATTTGACATAATTAGCTTGGAGACTGTTTTGGGTGGACTCTAGTAGTCTCAAGAGTTCATTGAAATAGTGGAATTTACAAATTTGATGGAACAAATATATTCTTCTTTAGTCACTTTGTTTTAGTAATAAGGCAAGCTAAATCTGAGTTTTTTTTATTTGTTTTGAAGTCAAAATATAGGATGCCTGGTTAAAGTTATCCTAACATCACAATCTTTTTAAAAATACATTGAAATGAATTCAATTTTCCAGTACTCATTTAAAGTAAATAAATTCTATATGTATGAAATCCTGAATTTAATACTAGCTATGAATTACATTGGGAAATTAACTCAGTTAACAAGCAATTGCCTAACAAAAAGGAATAAAGGCAAAATAATAAAATGTTAAAGATTACAATAAACATAATTTGACAAGTGATTTTTTTTAAAAACATTTTCATGCAATAACATAATATACACCTAAGGATTTCTTGGAGTGTTTAGTCTCTTCATCATACAGGAATATTGATTTCATGTCAAATGCCTGAAATCTTTTGAATACTGCATATGGAACAGTACTGACCTACATACTGGCAGATGGATTTTGAATTAAATATACCCTTTTTTCTTTAAACATCAAAGCACATGAAATATATTCACTTATTTTTTGGTAGTAAATAAAATATGCAGTCAATCTGTTTGAAATGTTTCTATAGAAAATTCCTTTCTGGAAAAAAAAATCCTAGGTGTAGGTGTGTACAATTCATATAAATCCCTGTCATTGTGAAAACCATCATGGTACATTAGAAGGGGCTCAGCTTTTTGAGTTAGAAAGATACAGCTTCATCACTTACTATAAGACCTTAAACAGGTTATTTAGCTTTTCTGAGCTCACTTTCCTTTTCTGAAGAGTGAGAGCAATAATCCTAACTTACAGGGCTGCTAGAAGAAATTTAAAAAGTAAGTATAAAGTTCTCAGCTTATTTGTTAGCAAACACAATAATTAATTTACTGCCATGTTCTAGTAGTTATTAATAAGACTTTGAGAGCCTAAGCCATGTATGGTATGATACCATATACTCAGATATGTGGAAATTATTACACAAATATTTTTGAGTTGATTAAATAGAATGCAGAAATAGCTAAAACACAGTATAGTGAGGTCAATAGGGTGAGATAACTTTGAGTTGAGTTCTTAGAAGTGAGAAGTGCAAATGGCATAAGAGGAAGCAGAATTGCCAACGTTGGGTGATGAGCTGGCTGAGGGATACAAATGTTTCCCCAGTGATGGTTCATGACTCCAACAAATCTTGAGTTACCTTCCAGTTAAGGTAACTTTTCTTGCTCTGGCTTTTTTTACCAGGGGACTTCAAATGAAGAAGAAAACAATGGAGAGAATGAAGACTCTGATGGAAATGAAGATGAAGAATCCGAGGCTGAGAACACAACCCTTTCTACTACAACACTTGGCTATGGAGAGGAGCCCACCCCTGGAACAGGGAATATAGGTCTAGCTGCAATCCGACTTCCCAAGAAGGTAATAATTCCCCCAAAATTTTCAATCTGATTTCATTTCTTTACTGAAGTCTAAGGTTGTCCCAACACTACGGCACAACGTATTTTATATTATCTTCATTAGCTCATCGAAAAAGTGAGAACAGATACAATTTCCCTGTTTACAAATAAGGAAAGATCTTTTCCCAGGCAAGTTCTTTTCCCATGTTATTACACTGACTTTCTACATTATAACAGAATACTAAGGACAAGCATCTTAGCAATGGATAAAAGGTCCTGAGAGATGCCATTGCATTTCAGGGAAGAGGATTCCAACACAGAGAGAGTGAGGGGCAAAGCTATAGGAAGCATCTCCCACAAAGAAGGCTTATTTATCGGGTACAGTTTCCCCCATCAAAACCCAATGATGAAGGTACTAATTCTGAATTTTTAAAACCCCCACCAATTTTTTTGTAAGTTAAATTGGCTTCAATTCAAAATTACATCCAGAACAAAGCTGTCAGTACAGCCTGTGTTAGCTGAAATGATGGCCTTAAGTTTTACATATTTCACACCTAGATTTGGATTCTTCCAAACTTTTCTGTACAGGCTGGGGATATAAAAGGCAAGGCTACAAAAGAAGAGGAAAGTGATGAAGAAGAAGAAGAAGAAGAAGAAGAGGAAGAAAATGAAAACGAAGAAAATGAAGCAGAAGTGGATGAAAATGGGCAAGGCATCAACGGCACCAGCTCCAACAGCACAGAGGCAGAAAACGGCCATGGCAGCAGTGGCGGAGACAACGGAGAAGAAGGGGAAGAAGAAGTCAATGCAGAAGGAACCACGGTGGCTGGAGAGCAGGACAAGGGTGGCTCTAAGACAACAACCTCTCCAAATGGAGGGTTTGCACCTACAACTCCACCACAGAAGGTCTACAGGACCAGCACCCCTCCATTTGGGGGAACCACCACCACTGGATATGAGGGGGAGTACGAACAAACAGGCACCAATGAATACGACAATGGCTATGAAGTCTATGAAAATGAGAATGGGGAACCTCGTGGGGACAATTACCGAACCTATGAGGATGAGTACAGCTATTATAAGGGGCGTGGCTATGATGGCTATGACGGACAAGATTACTACTACCACCAGTAAAGGCCCAGCCTAGGATGAATTCATTCATTCTGGTGTTTTGTATGGCTATTGTTTTCAAAGTTCAACTCAGGAAGGTGCAATACAACAAATGTGCATATTATAATGTGGAACGGTGCTACTGTTCCAAAGTGATTTTCTGTAATTGCTTCTGCAAGTAATGGGCTTCTTGTTGCTTCTCCTTGGTGTGTTATTGAAAGGTCGTTGTAAGTCAGGGCCATTTATCAAGTGGTAAACCAATCCATGAGATCAAATTTGACTGAATGTTTTGAGGTTGTAGTTCTATAAATAGTATTTTTAACATGTTTGTACTATTACTAACTGCTAAAACATACTCTTTGTGCAAGAGGTGCTTCTAAGAAAAGAGTTATTGACATTAATGACACTGTATACAATAAATATGTAGTTCCTCAATCACACTGCCTATCCAACACTGTATATTAGCTTTAATTATCATCCTCATGTGTTTTTATGTAACCTGTATGTATAGTCTATCTATGGGTTTTATCACAAATAAAAATGCAATTCTTCAAATGTGTTATAATTAAGAGGAAAAATGAGAGATTCAAAATGAAAAAAAGGTGAGACCGGTGGGGGAACAATTCAGCTAAAGGATAAAAGCTTATTTCCACTATGGTTTAAATCTCAGAAGAACTATAAACATTTTCTCATGGATAAATCAATATAACTAAGATTTTGACAAGCTTGTGGGCAGAGTCGCCATATATATATCAGGAGAATAAATGGCTTTTATTAGAGTTGCCAGATTTAACAAATAAAAATAAAGGAGGCTGAGTTAAACTTGAATTTCAGATAAATAATGAATAATTTTTTAGTACAAGAATTCTCCATGCAATAATTTGCCTCTGTGAAATATTTGGGACACATTTATAGTAAATAAATGATTCGTTATCTGAAATTCAAGTTTAATTGAATGTCGTGTGTTATATCTGGTAACCCTATCCCTATTTGATTTGGTTTTAGGTGGAGCAGGGAGTGGGATGGGTAGAAAACTCTTACACACACACACACACACACACACACACACACATGCATGCATACACATGCGCACACACACACCAAAGAGGGCTGATATGCAAAGCCTTAACTAGAACTTACACTTTCATATAAACCTGAAAGCAAATTTTAAATGGGCGTAGTGATGGAAAGTAGATAGCAGGAAGGAGTAAGAAGACAAAAATTCATTCATCTCTTTATCTATTCATTTATAAGATATATGGAGCATCTACTATGGAGCCAGACAATGTTTAGACCTTGGGCTAATGAAGATGAAGAACCCTGTCCTCAGAGTGAGTTTAGTCTGATTCCTAACAGATGTAAGGCATTCATTGTCCCCTAACTTTTCATTTTGAAAAATATCAAGCCTTCAGAAAAGTTGAAGACTAGAACACTAGCACTCTCACTATACCTTTCGCCTGGACTCAACAATAGCCAACATTTGCCATGTTTCTGTCCTCTCTTTCCTCTATTTCTGTGTGCCTCTCTTCGTATCTATACTGCTTTGCCAAACCATTGAAGAGTGATTGCAGACATCATGATATCATGAGGCTCCACCCCTAAACACTTCGGCATTTAGTATAAGAACAAGGAATTCTCCTACATAGCCACATTACCATTATTATTCTCATTCACAAGAAATTTAACATAGATATGATAGCATTTTCTAATATACTGCCCATTTTCAAATTTTCCCAATTATTCCAGTGATGTCCTCTACTGCTAACTCATTTAATCCTCACAAAACTCTACCAGGCAGGTAATATTGCTATCTCCCATTTTACTGATGAAGGGGCTAAAGCACAAAGAGGATATGCAGTTTGTACAAGGTCACAAGCAGCAAAGCTGGAGTTAAAATGAAGACAGCCTGGCTTTAGAATCTGTGCTCTTCCCCAGGATGCTGTATTCATTCATGTGTATTCATCTGTATATACACTATACTGATGAGAGGGCAGGAAAAAGCTAATGATGAGAACATTGCTGAAAAATGAGTCTTGTCGTATATCACAATATTCTTAGAACCAGCATGTTTTATGTCTTCAGCCCTAAGAATATTTTCAAAGCAAGGATCTTCTCATATTTCTAGTATATCTTTCTATATAGGCAGCTTGTATTGTGCAAAGTGCATGAGCTCTAGAGTTAGACGGGTTTGAATAATGGTGTTATTGAGAGTAAATTAATTTGCTTCTCTAGTCTTTATTACCTCATCTCCTACGTGAGGAGCATACTCAGTGTGTTGCTGTTCCATCTGATGCTGTTTTGAGGTACTCAGGATCATCACATCGCTCCTCTCCACTGCCCCTCCGCTCCCCATCTTAACACTTAGGTGCATCTGATAGTAATAGAATTATCTGGCCATAAAAATTGTTTTTTAGGAACTCATAGAATATTTTTTTTGTCCTAATGCATCTTTGTAAACAAAAGCTTTTGATGAGATTGAGGCCTTGGGAAAAGTGTAATCATTACTGTTTATTAGTCAATGTAAGTAATGTTTACTATTTATTTGTGACTTATTGTCACAAACTATCTCAATATATAAAAGAATCATCAAGTGTTAAATTTGGAAAGGATCTTTGCAATCTGTAATGTTAATTTATTAATTTTTATTCATTTTTCTATAGCAAAATGGCTAAATCTTTTCCTTTATGGTTTCTTCCTTTGCTTTTGACTCATGTAATGTGGGTGCTGCTCCCCACTATCCTACCTTACGGATTCGAGCTAGCTCACTTAGATCCCCGAGTGCAGAATGGTAAGTGTTCCCCGCCATCGCTCCGAGCATCTAGGAGTTTCCTTTAGACTAGTGGGGTTTTTTAGGAGGACTGTGGCAAGGTGTTCACTTGGGTAGGCAATGGCCGCAGAGGAGAGATTCACAGCCCAGCACAACACGGACACCAGCACGAGTGGGCAGTCAGATGGTGAGGCCTGTAGACAACCACTGCCCAGGACCTAGATGGAAGCAACACGAAGTTCTTGGATGAAGGCCAAGTGGTGGGCTGGTGAGGGCTATGATTTAACCCAGCTCCTAGGTACCCCAGTGATGCCCCTTATAGCAGTTCTCTCAGCCATACCATGGAATACCTTCTGCCCCCCTCTTGGAATATTTTTCCTACTTAGAACCACACATTAGAGTTCCAGCCTCCTTCTGCCATCCTAGCTAGCTAGCCTCCCTGGCCTCTTGCTCCCATTTCCCAAATTATTAGAAAAGAAAGAGGAATATTTTTATTCTTCCCAGGGAAAGATAATCCTTCCTCTAAGAATGGATCAAATGACTCCTTTGAATAGAGAAAAGATAAAAAGTGAAATAAGCTATGATCATATTTGGGGGAAAAATAAAGTTATATTCTCCTGCCCATAGAAAATTCTTTTGCCATTGTACATATATCAAAACCAGTCTGTAGCCACGGCAGAGCTCCTCGATGCCTGTTAATATCTGTTCTCCCTTCTCTCTCTCTGAGTCGTAGAACTCGGGTTTTTTTAACTAGGCCTGTGGCTACAGAATAAACTCTAATTTCTTCTACTTCCCTTGGAACTACATGTGGTCATTCTATTTGAGTTCTGGCCAGGTATACATTTGATGTGTACAATTTCTTTGTTGTCTCCCTAAAGAGAGTATTATTCAGTTTCCCTTTCTCCAATTTCTCTCTCCTACTGGCTGGAACTCAACCATGGTGCTGAGACATCTATGACAGTGTGCATGAAGCAACAATCTATGGATGGCAACATGACGAGATAGAAAAAGTCTCGCTCCAAGGAGCATCACACCAGCTCTGGATACCCAACCTCTAGAAAGAAAACTTCTATTTTCTTTAAGGCACTGTGATTATGAGTCTCTATTGTTTACAGGCAAAATAATTCTAACTCAGTAGTTCCCAAAGTGTAGTCATCAGATCAGCATCATCAGCATCATCTGAGAACTTCAAATCTAGAGGCCCACCCAAGACCCAAGACCTACTGAAACTCTGGGGGTGGACAGGGGATTCCAATACACCTTAAAGTTTGAGAACCACTATTTTCATTATAATAGCTAAAGCTTATTATATGCTTACTGTGTGCCAGTTCTATTCTAAGCCTCTTACATACACTACTTCATTTAATTCTCACACTTACTGTAAGTTAACTCCATTTTACAGGTAAGGAAAGTGAGTTACAGAGATGTTTAGCCACTTTCTGAGATAATACAGCTGATAAATGGAGGAAAGGAGACCTCTTCTGGAGTCCACACCCTAGATACCTCTCAGAGCTTCTTTCTTTATACAGAAAAGTCAGTCTGTTAAAATAAGTGGATTTAACCGGGAATTGGAAGAGGAAATTTTGGATAAGAGCACATGTAACAACCCTAATGATGCTTTACTGTTTGGTTCTTTAGAGTTAATAAGAAGATGTAATTTTACAGGTTTTACATCAGGCTCAGGTGATCAAAGGAAGATCTCTTTGACAACAGAGACTGCTAGTACACATGGAAATACCCTTTCGTGCTGTTGTCAAAATAGGACAACACCTTGTCCCTTGTCAAGCAGTCGGGCATTCCCTAAGCAGCAGTGTGATTCATGATAGGGCCATGAGGACCTCGACTGCAGCTGTGAGGTTGGCTCCCCACAATTCCATTGATTTGGCCAGTAGGGAGGCAATGAACTCAAATGGAGACAAGCAGTTTATTACTTACACAGAGAACAAAAGCAGGATCAGCATGGTGTCAGCTCCCTGCATCCCTGGTCCCACAAGATGACACTGAACCTGAAGGGCCAGATGATAGATGGCACAGGTGGTAGGTCATTCTGCTGCTGAGGAGCAAGCTCTCACCTATAGCCAAGCAGACAGACTTACACAGAAATCTGCAGTTGTACCCAATGGGGGATGAGGTTGAAAGTCCTCTGCTCAACTGAAACCGGGAAGATGGATGAGAAATGGCCTTGTGACCATCTCCCATAAGGTAAGGAGGTGCATAGGAAACTGTCTGTGGCATCTCTTCACCAGGCTGCTTATCCCTCCTTGTTCCAGGCACAGGGCACTTTGCCAATACTCAGGTCGGACTGTAGTCAATCCTTGTCCATGTGGTCTATACAGAGACTTGCAAGGTTGTCAGAGTGCTGCTCCCCTACACACCTCTTCCAGATACCAAGGTTTGGGAGGCTTATGAGTGTCCGGGACCTTCTAGGGACGGCTAGCCACACAGGGGAGTTAGGATGGGCTAAGAAAGGTCTTAGGGCAGAAGAGGATTACGTCTGAGAGATGATCCATGGCAGACACGCGGGCCCTCACCAGGCAATGGTATGCTAAAAGGCTTCCTATCACAGGCCACAGTGTGGGGGGGATGGTGTGTGGTTATTAGCATGGCCACAGGGCAGCTGCTTCTCAGAGATGACTCTGCCCCTCTCTCTGTGGTCACCCTAGGTCCCATCCCCTCATTTCAAGTCCCTCTTACCTCCTTCAACATGATGCCTCAATTAAGATCCTCCCCAGCTGGCATCCCAGTGACCCATATTTAATCTGTGGGGAGCCCCCGCTTTTCAATTTATTTGTGACATATACTCTACACCCTGCTTCTTTTATTGCTGGCCCTATTCATTTTCTACCATTCTTTCCTCTCTTAACAAAATTTTCGCCTTGCAAAACTAAAGCTTTGGCTTTCAAAATGATCGTTTCTGCTGAGAGCTTCAAGAGCGTAGTTCAGAACTGAAAAACCAAACGTTGACTTTCTTTCCATTTGGATTCCTCTCATTAAAAAAAAAGCAAAACCA